TGAAGGGTAAGGGTGCTGGTGAAATTACAGGCATGTGGGACTTGTCAATTTATGTCTCAGGGTGTCGGGCGCAGTGGCAGTGCCCCTCAGATCTTTTCGATTTAAAGCTCTGAGTGGCACTGCAACTGTTCTGGACAGGCGTGGTGCTTACCATCAGGCCATTACCAAAAAAAATGTGAACCGATTTTGATAATTATTTTTTTGTTATTTTTTAGCTTATTTAGCTTATCCAAAACACCTACAATTTTAACACATTAAAATACAATGATATAAAATTAAAATAAATTGAAATTACTAATACAATTTAAAAAATGTCAAAACTTTAACGTACTTGGTAAGTAATTTCCTATACCTACACACACTCACACTCATAGCCCCGCACTGGGGAAACCCTGTATCGCGGTTGCCATTAACACACATAGACAACCACAAATTGCACCCAAACTCACTAGAGAAATAAATGTAGGCCATACAAATATTTCTCCCGGCCCGGGAATCGAACCTGAGACGTCCGCTTGGCAGGCCAGTATGGTAACCGTTTGGCCACTAAGGCAGTTACGTTAAAAGTATTTATTTAAAAACATGTTCGCCTTCTTAAATTGTCCAAAGGAATCAGCAAATAGGTCAATGTATCAATACGGAGGTACCCTCTTTCCAACATGTTATACATGTTGGAAAGAGGGTACCGCCGTATTGGTACTATTTAAATTTGAAGAAAATATTCCACCTCTAAGGGTGGCAAACTAGGGGATGAATCCGATTTCGCACACTTTCCGGTAACCGTTTCCAATAAAACGTGGCAAATAGATGTAATTCCAATAAAAAAGTCGGCAAACAAACTTTTTAAGTCGGTTTGTTTTTAATCCCCTAGATTGCCACCCTTAGAGGTGAAATATTATCTTCAAATTGAAATGGGACCACCAACCAACAAAAAAAGAATCATCACAGTCGGTTCACAAACGCGTGAGTTACCGTGTAACATACATACAAAAAAAGACAGACGAATTGAGAACCTCCTCCTTTTTTGGAAGTCGGTTAAAAAGTTACAATTAAAGAAAGTTATTTTATACCTTATTTAGTTTCAGTTTCACATTAGTCCTAATGGGAATCGAAACGCATCGGCATCCAGAGCCCACAATTAGGCTACCGAGATCCTGAAATATATCAATAACAACCACCATGTTTCTGGCAAAGAAATAATTTGATTGGTTGATCAATGCCTTATGACATTAACCTGTCAGACCAGAAACTATCTGGTACGTAACTTACATTGTAACTAATGCGTTCGACTGGCTGTACCATTTGTTTTGTAAAAGCAAAACATGAAACGTTCGTGAGATACAAATGTTGTCCTCAAGTGACCCCACGAAAGAGGTCACTCACTCTTCCCTTGTTATCTTAAACGACCATAAAGTTGTCAAAGACATAAAGTGTGTTATGTCTGTTTTATGACAACAAATCGGATTAGTTACGATACAGTGGGCAATTCTTAAAGCCTTATAGTATAATAAAGACACGTCGGGCAACTCCCGCCCGTCTACATTTCGTTCCGAACTTAGGGTTGTCACATTATTGTATTAAAGTTGTATAAACAACGTTTACTTTTCATCACACGTGCACGTAAACAGTATGCAGGCTATAGGCAGGCATTTCAACCATGGTCGGTAATGAAAAGAAGACAGGCCCGAGTGTTTTATTTGGGGCATAATAATCAAGTTAGTCTGCACACAATTATATTATTTACGTGCAAGTGTGATGAAAAACATTGTATGGTTCCATTGACTTACAATTATATGGACGTCGGGTCCGCGCTAAAAAGTGTCCGAACTTATAGGGCGTTAAAATCGTATACAGAGCGTCATTCACGCTCTAGTCTTCGTTTGTTCGACTGGCAGCGAAGCAAGCAAAATTAGACAGTACTGCGATGACATTACAATTTAAATTCAACGTTTCAGCTTTTTCATATTCCTTTACATGTCACTACGTTTAAATAGGTTGACTTGGGACATTTTTTTCGTGGTTTTTGTATTAGACTCGTCGTCCATTTATTTGTAAGTCAATGTATGGTTCACAAGCGGGACGGGGATTACGAACGTCTTCGACTTCGGGCTTCTAATAGAGTCCCTGTTAGATGAATGTACTTATTACCTTACCTATTTCTGTTGTTAATTGGTAATGCGAGTATTACAGCGTTCCAGTTTTGAAAGGCTTTTTATGATACCAAATGACTTGACGAATAAGGAGTGCGCGTGGTGGGTAGCGACACGTCCGTCCTTAGCTGTTACAGTGTCATTCAGAGCTTTAAGATGCAAAGATCTGAGGTACACTCCCATTGCGCCCGTCTTCCTAAGACAAGTTGCCAAGTCCCATGTACCTGTAATTTCACCAGCACCCTTACCCTTCAAAACCGGAACACAGTAATGCTTACATACAGCTTGACGGCAGGAACAGGTAAGGTAGGTAATATAGCAGTACTTTCCTAATATTTTTCATTTTAACTGACAAAAAGGAACCATATTTTTTGTGTCTATGTTACGAGGTTACTCAGGCATTTAAATTTGAAGAACATATTCTATCTCCAAGGGTGGCTAATTAGGGGATGAATGCAGTTTATTGAATTTCACCCACTTTCCATTAACCGATTTCAATAAAACTTGCCACATAGATATGGTGACCTACACTAGAGCTGCGGCCTGATTTTCATTCAAAACGGAATCGATCCGATCGGGTAGTCTCGAAACCAGATGTGTTTCTGAGTGAGAAGATGAACATGATTCCTACTATATCTTTCTAATTTATGAGTTAAATCAACTATTGGTCTAATTAGAAATGTCAAGTTTCCAATCGACTAGTTGTGAATCGCAGTTACGCGCCTCGACTTGGAAAAGACGCAGTTTCCGATAGGGAGAGGTTTAAAATCAAGCTGCAGGTCTGATGATGGAAATGGCTGACCATGAGAGGGACTCCTCAACATTGTACAGCAGCAACCTTGTGTTTGGGCACTTAAGATTCGTTTCTGCGATGAGGCCAGTTACTTTACTGCGATATTAAGTTAAAACATTTTTGTCTTTCATTTTCAATCATTCCTAGATTTCAAAGGGCGTATTATTCACTCTATATGTATCACTTGAAACTTCGCATAATTTCACGAAATTCAGCCGTTAAGTGGCCAGCTCGATCATGTGATTGAACACCGCTGGATTATTTTTTATGTTAAAGACAGAGTCTATACGGAGCCAATCGAATCGATTGCCGCCTTAAAACACAAAATTCGTGAAGTGATTAACGAAATAGACCCACCATTTTGTCAAAAAGTGATTAAAATCTTTGAAAGAAAGAATCGACATCTGTAATTGTGGTCGTGGTGGACATTTATCAGATATTATTTTTCATTCATAATTGCCAAACCTTACTTTTTTAATACAATACAAATTTGAATCATTGTCATCAAAATTTTTATAGAATTGATATTCAATTATTTTTTATGTGAAATTACTACACTAGTTTGTTTACTGACGTCTTCTAACATACCAAATACAAAGACACCACAACAAACACAGAAGAATTCGCGAGGTTCGCTGGTTCGTTCCGTGCCTTGGTTGATATAGCGTAAGGCACGGTATGCTAGAAGACGTCGTCGGTTCGAATCCGGCCGGATCGAAGGAATTTTTTCTGAGTGTTCGATCTTTGTATTAATAATTATAACATTGTCATCTAAATTTATTGTTTTATTTTGATTCACAAAATAAAGTTCTTGTTGAAAAACCCTATATAATCCCGTTAAAAATCTTTTCAGTATTACATCAGTGCAAATATTGTTAAAATCGGTTAAGTGAATCATCATACATCCCACTGTTGGGCACGGGTCTCTGTTTAGGCGCGGTTTTAGGCCATAGTCTGCCGCGCTGGCTAAATACAGGTTAAGGTCTTCACACGTTTGCCAAAGATTGTGAATTACATTTCGAAAAACTCAGAGAACGAAGAAACGAAGAAACTCAGAGATGCAAACACGCGGCCTTTGTTTGAGAGACTATAGGTCAAACCATTAGAATACTACGGCTTATTGAAGAAAGTCCTGCGGCTTATGGGTTAAACTTGCAACTTTCATCTAGTTGCGCCGTGAGGAGCACGTTCTCGGCTTTTTCTGTAATGTTCTATATGACCCTCGTACTCCACCTACCTTAAGGAACGTTTTCGCTTCCCGGGGAGGATCACAACCGTGAATTTAGGTCTAAAATGGATAACCTATTGAAACCACCTTTCACTCTCTCGGAGTATTTAAAAAACTCTTTTACGGTTAAGGCTGCACAACTATGGAACGAACTCTCGTCTGAAATCCGACATTCAAAGTCGCTTCCCATTTTCAAAACTGGATTCGTAAATATCTTCTGACACTGTCCTAATCTGCAACGTGTATTTATTTATTAGTAAGTATTTAAGTTTATTAAGGTATATTTATGTATACTAATATACATGTAGGTATACTATACTATATTTATTATTTGATAAAATATAATGTTCATTATTGTTTATTTTCCTATATCTCAAAGGTTGTCTGGAAGAGATCGCTCTTAGCGATAATGCCACCTTTGCCCACATTAGTTTTAAGCCGTCTATGTACTGTTTTTGTTTTTTGTATTTGAGCAATAAAGTATATTTATTATCTATCTTTCTTTTGTAGTGGGTTAAAACTCGGCATCTTTTCAAGGCCAAATTAAATACGTATTTTCTAGCCAAGCTTCGTCCTAGACAACGTCCGTGTTTCGCATCAGGAGATTAAATTCAAAATTTATGTCGGATGTAACATTATTCTGAAGTTATGACTGGACTTAAAAACAATATTGTAAACGCTTCCCTTTAGTTTATTAACGGCAAAAGCGACTTAGTTCGACAGTTGCGCTGGTCAAATGTAGATTGGAAACTTGCAATCCGTTCGAAAACAAAGAATTATTGTATTGCAATTGTATTTATTCACCCGCAACATTAACTTTGCCGCAACACTCGCCCATATTGACTTCTTTATTTTGCAACCGGTCAGTCCGTAACAGCGCCAAGTGCTACACAGTCGTGTGTTATTTAAAAAAGCAAACAAGTTTTTGAACGTAAGTGAATTTTGTTTTGATTTATTTATTTAAGAAAAAAAAACGAAATAGTGTCGCGCCTTTTTTTTCTCATAAATCCTTCTTTGTTGTGTTTGCAAAGATATTCGTGCGATTGTTGTTTTTTTATCTTCTAAAATCAAGTCGTGCTGTTCAAGTTTCCTTCAAAGTGGTCGTCCTTGAAAATGTACTTTTATTATTTAGACATGCACCTCAGAAGAACTGAAATAATATAATGTAGTACACTGCTTGCAATATTATAAAATTCAATATATTTTGTTTGTATATTTTACAATTTTTTTTGTCGAATACCTGCTTCAGTAGATAGGAAAACACTTTTTGTTGTTTCTAATTCCAATAATACATAAAAATTAAAAACTAACGGTCGCAATTTAACTTAATACAAATTTTCCAGATCAAACAAAATTACTTGGCTTTCTCTTAAGTAGCTCTTATCAAAGTCAGTCTCTCGTTAGGTTATATTATAACAAATAATAAAGAGGGGAGAAATTAATTTACTTAAAGTATGAACATTTTCTTACTACGGACATACCCATTTCGTCATCAATGCGTATACAATTTATTTCTTTATTATTTATTTCTCAATTCGACAACGTTTTTTTTTGTACGCATGTTACGCGATAACTTTGTGAACCGATAATGTTGATTCTTTTTTGTTGCTTAGAGGGTACGTCAATAGGGGTCCGATTTGAATTTGAAGAAAATCTTCAAGGTGGCAAACAAGGGGATAAATGACTTTTGAAGTCGATTCGGAGATTATTTATAATATCAAGTGGAGGGACGAACAAGACGTAAGCTTACTGATAGTTACGCGCCTGTCCATAACAGTTGCTCTGAAGATCTGTGGGACACTGCGCCCGACACCCTGAGATATAAATTGTACAAGTCTCACGTACCTGTAACTTTATCAGCACGTTCATATTACTGCTTGGCAGCAGAAATAGGTAAGTTGGCAGTACTTCCCTGGACGGACTCTTTCACAAGGAGCTGTAGGCTACCAATTTTTATGTTCGTTAAAGTTTAAGTAACTATAAATTGAAAATGAAACTAATTTTTCGTATCTTATTTCGTGAATATTTGTTTTTTTCAAATGAACTAACGTGTCGGGCCCTTTACAGGTCCCACGGCTGACTGCAAAGTATAATATTATAGTATATTATGCAATCGTTTCTTAGTGAGGTGTCCTAAAGGCTTATATTTATAATAATGATCTTTATTTTCTCTGTAAAGTTTTCACTGTAGTCTTACATTAACTGATATATAAGCACTAACATTTGCAGAAACTAAGGCCTGAACTAGGTTGATCCTGTATTTCAGGTCGCCAAGTCTCTACCTCCGTAAAAAAATCAATAACATTATACATATAAGTATAGGCAAAATAAAGGATGTTGGTCAGACAAAATTTGAAATAAAAATTAGTTACTAAATAGTCGTGTTAAATTACGGAGTACAAGAGAAGTGCAGTTGTGTGCGTGGGGGTTACGTGTTCGTGTGTGTTTATCACTCTCCCCAACATTGTTTTGTTTTTAGACCTTTAATATTACCATTTTTAACTTCACAAGACATCTTCAATAAATTGTTCTGTTTCATTGTAGTTTAGTCCATTTTATCACGACTTTCTTGCATTCGTAATTATTTTGAGAATAAATTTTCAAATTTAAATTATATAAGTACGATCCGAGGAAGGTAAAAAACCAAATTATATATCGATAATATTTCGACCAATAGAATTCGACGCAGTAGAACGTTTGAGTAGGGTCATATTTGATATTTGATATTTTCTTTTTTTTTTAAATTGTATTATTAAAAAAAGAAAATGTGAAATAGTTCTATATACAGAACTGTAACGTCCTAACCATGGGACATGTAAAAGGCCCGAAACGTTGGTTTGCTTGAAAAAACCTCTACTACGATCTAGATCCGAAATATTACTTTCATATCTTAGAAACGTGTAACAATCGTAAAAACCTAACTGCTCGATGTGAAATGAATTGTGATTCGATCAATTGTTAATATAGCACTAACATTTTGTAATAAAATATTTATAATGATTTTAAAATTAGTATAATTTATATATTATAGTTTGTTATTTATTCTATTTAACATATTATGATTGTATTATTTGATAACCTCGGTGGCGGAATAGTTTGCACCATGGTTGTTGCTTGGAGATCAGTCCATCTGTTTAGGAGCCACAAGAGCTTCAAACTTAAACTACTTTTTTGTGTCGATTGTTAAAAATTGGTTTCCCGAGACAGGATACCTAAGATGCTGGCACCTACAGAACAATAAAGGGGAAGAAGTGCTTTGAGAGCGGCGTACTTGTTCCAACAGTACGCGTCGTTCCACATACTTGAGCTCAATCTACCATTTTCGCTTTGTACGTTATGATCTTATCAATTATCTCTCGTAAAACTTTGAAAGTCCTACAAAAATACCTTATTTAGCTTGTAATATATTATCTATTGGTGATATTTCGTATCATCATAAAGTCATATTTTGTTTAATTTTATTAAATTTTCCATTTTCTGTTTATAGTTAGCATTTTTCTGTTACCAGAACCGAAAGTAAACCGTATACCGCCGGACTACCACGCCGAGGTCCTGGGTTCGATTCCCAGGCCGGAAGAAATATGTGTATGGCGTATATTTATTTCTGTCGTAAGTTTAGGTGTAATTTGTGGTTGTCTATGTGTGTGTCCATGGCACCCGCGACACAGGGTTTCCCTAGTGCGGTGCTATGAGTGTATTGTAAAAAAATAAAGATAAAAAATATTCTTCTTTTTGGAGGAATAAGTAAATTGTAAATTATCTTACCGACTTGTCCAGACGGTCTATCAATTTTCAGGATATGATTTTCTGATAACAAAGGTCACTGGAAATCCTACGGGCCTAGAAATTGGAAATTTGGAATCTGAAGGATTTTAATATATGGCGAGCGGCTAGGGAATGAATTCCCTGCCTGCAGACTTCTTCCCTGAACGTTATAACTTGGACCTTTTCAAGTCCAAGTGAGTAGGCATTATTTAGTCGTGCATGCTCCATCGTCGACCTCATCGTCACTTTCCATCACGTGAGATGGAGGTCAAATGCGCACTTTGTTTTTGTATAAAAAAAAAGAATAAGTAACCGTATCCGAAACCTCTGTACACAACGCCATTCATTATTTCCGCCATTAAATAACGTAACATTGCCATTATTCTCAGTTTACGGCCAACTGTAAAGGTTAAAACTAACTTAAACATATTACCCTCGGCCATAACTTCAGATTTTTTTACGTGCTGCTTTTTTTAAGAGGCTAACGGTTCCAACTCCTACAGCGACACGTACGTATAATTTTACTTTGTAAATAATTATAACTTTTTTATGACAAAAAACCGACCTCAAAAGTGCGTGGATTTACATATATTTGCCAAGTTTTATTGATATTGGTTACCGGAAAGGGCGAGAAACCTGATTCATCCCCAACCAAATTTTCTTCAAATTTAAATGAGATCAATACTAAGATATTCTCGTTCCAACAAACAAAAGAATCACCAAAAACATACATAAAAAAAAAAGTCTTCCTTTCTTGAAGTCGGTTAATTACGTACAATTCGCAAATGTTTAGTTGCCTCCTAGAGTCGTATAAATATAATACTCAAGTCAGGACTTGAGCATTGCAGTGAGCACTGAAAATCATACTCAAGTCCTTGCCAATAAGGGTCGTATTTCCAGTGCTTGAAATCATACTCAAGTCTGCTCAAATCCTGACTTGAGCATTGAGTACAGTTCTGGAATACGACTCTTAGTGTTGTAAAAACTCGAGTCCGATAGTCTACATTTTAAGACTCGAGATCAATTCACAAGACTCGACTCATAAACTCCACTGCTTGATATATTACGAGCCTATCTAGTTTCCGAATAAACTCGAGTGCGACATTCGTGCTCGAGTCTATTTAAGTCACGAGGCGAGCTCGCGACTGGTATTGACTTGTAGTATATATATAATTCATTATCATATCTGCCGGAAGACTTCCACTGCTGAACCTATGTTATGTAGGCCTATGCCTCCCCCAAAGGTTTCCAGACCTGCCGATCAGTTTTGTTCAAAACTCGAGTTAATTTTAATTACTCGAGTTCTTTAAGAGTTGATGCAACCTCAAATGGCTTTGGTTGATTCCGGATAACAGCGAAAGTGTTGAACACTTTCGAAATAATCTCAGCACAGAGTACTAAAAAAACCGACCTCAAAAGTACGTCGAATTACGTCTATTTGCTAAGTTTCATTGAAATATCCCCTAGTTCGTCACTATACAGGACTTGACCCTGTAGATAATAAAAATCGGTTCTCGCTACTCAAAGTACATTGAGAGAAAAACGCCTTGAATTGGAGAAATAGCAAAATCAAACGTTGAAGTAATTGCTCCTAAATTAATGTTAGGCGCTATTTATAAAAATGAATGTTCATGCGTGAACAGCCACCCTTAGAGGTGGATGATTTTCTTCAAAATGAAATGGGGCCACTATGGAAGTACCCCCTTTCCAACAAAAAAAGAATCATGAAAACCGGTTCACAAATACCGGAGTTATTGCGTAACATACATACACCCTTACTGGGTGCATGTAACATTTTGAATGTAACGTGTATATGCAAATAAAATAAATAAAATAAATAAATAAATAAAAATAAAAAAAAAGCTGTATTCAATAGGTACTTTACACATACCAAAGATTTTTTTTTAATATCAACAGAACTAAATAGAACTCGTTTGTAAAAAAATTAATTGGCCGCTCAACCCAACAAAATGAATTGTATTAGTACGGGAAGAAATTTAATTCCTAAGATAGTATCGACTCCTAAATATGAACTACTTATTTAAGTCCACTATTTTTGAATAGCTGCGATATCTATAAATACCTAGATAACGTATTGCAAAAGTTATGACGCGAAAGATATAATGGTAATTTGTTTCATTTTTGCAACAACAAAGACTGTCAAAA